TAAAGATCCAGGTGCCCAGCCGTGACTAGCTCTTCCAAGTGTTGCCTCAAAGGCAAACAATCCTCTGTTTGGTGGCCTCGCTCCCAGTGAAATATACAACGGTATTTCGGATTGAAGCCCTTCTGTCCATCGCCCAACTTAGCGGGAAACCGGACATACTCCTCGTCACGGATTTCGCTAAGTATGCGATAAATTGGAATCTTAAAGACCGTGGTGATGCCGGTTCTTGCTTTCAATCTCCTGTTTGCATCGGCTGCGTCATCCCGTGGGTAGTCATCCCGGTCATTCTGACGTCCTCTGCCCCGGTTTTTGCGATTCGAGCCACGGTCCGATTCCTCTGCTCGGTCACTTGAGCAGCTGGACTCTTGCCCAACTGCGTGCACTTTGCCTGCTATCTTCTTGTCTGTTGCTACCGGAGTTGCCTTCACGGTAGATGCTGACGCATCATCCTCGACTCGGATGTGCTCATTGATGCGCTGCATGAGCTGGCCCATGGACGTCGGTTGGTGCATGGTAAGTGAGTCTCGCAGTCTATGTCCGACCGGGAGACCACGCTTGTATTGAGTGATTGCAAAGTTGACCGGGCAATCCAAGATCTCGTTGAAGGTCTCCCAATATCTGGAGTTGTACGCCTTCAATGTGTCGCTCGGTTCCATCTTGACACTCAGTAGGTGATCAACCTCTTTTGGTGTTTTGGTGTTGGTTTTGAAGCGCGTGACAAAGCTTCGGCCAGCTGATGCCACCTCTCAATACTCCCCTCCGGCAGCCTTTCAAACCACTTCAAGCCCAGTTCGCCCAAACTTGATGGAAATATGAGGCACATAAGAGCATCATTCCGCCTATGTCCGGCCATGACCTGTCAGAAATGACTTACATGCATGTAGGGATCGGTTTTCCCGTCGTAAAGCGTGGACTTTGGCTGGTGGAAGCCTGCCGGAAGCGGTGTCGTTTCTATTTCCAGGGAGAAAGGGGTGGCACTCAACCTTGCCAAATTTGAATCCACTAGGAGTGGCGTTGCTTGGCGGGGTGGAGGCATTCCGACCTCCTTGCTGGCGTGTACCCCGTAGGATAACCGCTGGAACGCCGGTATCCTCTGAGCTTCCCGCCGGCGAGCCCACTTCTTTAGGACCGCTCGCAAATCCTCTGAATAAGAGGAATAAGAGTACCTCGACGTCGTCACCGGACGTGAGGGCCGGTAAGTGCTATCTTGCGCGCTAGGCTTCTCTGCATGCACGTCGAAATCACCAACCTGGTAACTTCTGGTAATAGAAATGGACGGAGTGCGTCGCTGACTCTGACCGCCTGAACGGCGGGATGGGGTGCGCTCATTGTGGTCACCCACTCCAGCTACACCCTTCCCTTTGACATGCCGCTTGAGCTCTTCCATCTCCGCCGCCATTCGCCGGATGACGGCGTCTTGGTCCCTCAACTTGTGCTCCAGACGTCTGGCGTGTGACTCTCTCCGCCGCCGATGACCGTCTGGACTCCGCGAATGACCATAACTTCTTCCGTGCTTATCCCCCGCGTCTCTTGACTGTCCTTCGCTGGGTGTCTCCAAGGCCGCCATTAGATGGATGGCAGGAGGTCCTTCTCTCATTCGGGTGAACTCCGGGGTGGCTCCGTCTATGGCAGACAACGGAACTCGTCGTTGTTCGCCATGGATAGCGATCAGACGAGCCTGGAAGACAAGGTTTTGTCTGTCAAGTTTTCCACAGACGGCGCCAATTGTGCGAGGAGCAAATATCCAGGCAAGCCCGCACTCTTTTCTTCCAAGCTCCAGTCTGTCTGATCGACCTACGAGGAAATAACGGTGAGCTACCCGGCGGTGTGTGGCCGGAAAAACCCTCCGACGATTAAGTTAGCACACACCTTAGGATAGAGAGAGAGAGAGAGAGATGAGTGTTTGAGTGTAAGAATTTCCTTACAAAGTGTTCCTGTATCGCGTATGGGGGGCGCAGACATGCTTATATACCTTTCTGCGCCCCAAATCTACTCCCATTGGTCTCTCGACACGTGGCTCTGTTATCCCATCTGTCAGCATAAATCTTGCTATACATCACCTAACCCAACTGCCAGCCCACTCTGTTGGGAGCACGGCAGCCGGGCAACATTATCTCGGCTATCAACGGCCATACTGAACATGCCCAAGTGCATTTGATGTCGTAGTTTCCTACTACCGGGCTTAATTCCAGCCGTGCTCAACTGTATTCTGGCGAAGCTGAGCTGAAGATTGGTAACGCCGGTCAGCCAAAGACCTTCTCGGCCAAGCTCCAAGCACAGGCCTTCCTACCGTGTTAAGGTGCGTGCATTACAACCTTGCAACGAGTGAGCCGGGAAGCCTTATCTAGGCTGTTCCTCCACCTGTCCGGCCTTCGCAGAACCGAGATCATATAGCTCGGTTCCACGTGGGCTTTGCCATTACCGAGCAATATCATGACCTGATCTTGGAGCCCAATACCTCGGCCCAAATCTCTCCGGCTAACGTCACGGCCCAATCTCAGATCAGAAATCTCCCTCTCATTAACATTCATTTGTTATTTATATCAAACTGAGATGTTGACTTTTAAATAACCAAATCTTTTTTCACAAAACTTTAAACATTATTCAGTGTATTTGATTTCAGTTTTTTGAATTCAATTTTTTTAAAATTGAGTTTTTTATTTTTTGTTTTTAGTGAATATTTTTAAAATTTTAAATATTTTTTTTTTGCTTTTTTAGATGCACCTTATTTAGATGTATCTAAATAATAAAATATTTGTGAAAAAATATTTTAAAAAATTAATAAATATACAAAAATATGAAAAATATACTGAATTTTTATATTTTTGGTATTTAATGATTTTTTTTAAAAAAATTACAAATATTATATTTTTTAAATGTATTTATATTAGGTGTGTCTAATTTTTTTTTAAAAAAAATTATTTAAAATATTAAAAAAATTAAGTGAAAATAAAAAAAAATATAAAAAATAAAAAAAGTAGAATTTTCTAAAAATGAAAATCAAACAAAGTGATTGTGACTTTTAATTAACTTAAGAGAGATTTGGAGTTTCCAAAACTCAAAGGGGTGTGGTGTGTGAACCATCCTTTTCACTTTAACAAGGTTGATTAAAGTTTTGTTTACCTTTGGTTAATGATGTAGCTAATGACTTGCTTGTTTAATAAATAATTGGGTCCTAAAAGAGTTAGGTGAGTTGACCTCATTGTTCATTTTGTTTTCTCTTTTTGTCCACTGATCAGTCACTCTCATGGCCCATGAAAATTCATTATTGTTGGAGAATTTTCAACCGCAAATTCTATGTAATATATAACTAACAATACTAATAAACTTTCACGCAAAATCTATGAGAAGTTCAAATCCTTTAAATTTCAATTTTTGTCATTTTGATATTTAAAAGTTTTGAATCTTCTATCCAAACAACTAAACTATGTATTTCTTTATTATTGTTATCACTTGTGAATTTTTGTCAATTATTTGGACAAAGTAAGATGCTAGACCATTTTTTAAATGCAAAATTCTCTTTGTAACGTGTAGTTAAGGCACATAAATTAATACAATTTAAAATGCATATTGTAATTTTTTATTACATGTTTTTATATGTAAAATATATTTTAAAAAATTTTAAATATGCATCCTAATGCTGTGTTTGGTTGGGGATTTGGGGAGAGATTTGGAAAGGGAAAGGGAAAAGGTGTGTGAAACTATGTGAAATATAGACATGATTTATTCACATTTCACCTACCTTTACCATTTCCCTTTCCAAATCCCTTCCCAAATCCCCCAACCAAACAGTACATGGTAGTTACATTCTTTAACATTTGAAAATTTCAAAGATCACCATGCTAATATTAAGGTATACTTTTTTTTAATTAAACCGATGATAAAAACCTTGGGGTCATTTTTTTGTTGTTGTAATTTCATTTAAATTTTTTGTACTTTGTTTTATAATGAAAATTTATAAAATTCTAAAATTATGGAAGAATATAATTTCAATTCACCTCAAGTGTAACATTGGATTAGGAATATAAAATAAATTATATATTTTTTTTAGATATATAGTGGCGTTAGTTAATTGAGTTTAACTCTATAAAATTATACAAGCTGACTATGTTATTTTTATAAAACAAAATTAAATAGTTTTTTTGATTCTAATCCTATAAAATAAGATTCTTATAGTCCGATAATATATTTTCAACAAAACAATTTTCTTTTTTGTAAGGTTGACCTCCTTCTCTCAAACCAATAACAAATTAATACCATATTTTTATAATACACTTGGAACAAGGGAAAGTGATACAATTCATTAAACCGAAATAACGGTGACATTCAAATAATTAAAAAAATCTAATTATTCCAACATTGAAGATCCCATAAACAGAAAAATACAAAAAAAAACCCATAAACAAATATACCCCGGCACGAAATTTAAAAAATCACATTTTTTCATAAAATAAAATAATTGTCGTTAACACAACGTCTCTCCGAAGACGAAGGTTCACAAACCCCAAACATCTCCTTCGCTTCACCTGTCCTCTTCATCGCCTTTCCGTAGGAGCCATGGTGACGTACACACTAAACCCCCACAAAATCGCTGCCATGTGTCACTTTCCCCACCCACTCCACCCATTTTTTCCAAAACTACCCTCGCTCATCCCACGTCACCTCCCTAAAAACGAGCGAGTCTCGTGTTTCCTTCCATTCACATCTTTCCTTCCATTCACATCTTGTTTGTGAAGTGATTTTTTTAATTAAAAAGTAAATAAATTTATTAAAAAATTAAAAATTAATAATTTATATTAAAAAGTTAAAAATTTTCTTTTATTTTTACTTTTTATATATTTTTTTCGTAAAAAAAAAAAATTACTCTAAACATAATAATTTTTTTATATTATATTTTAATTAAAATATTAAAAAATTATTAAAAAAACTTACTCACAAATGAGTATTCAATCTACAAAATACAATTCTATATAAAAAAAAATCGCAGTATTGGCTCAAATCACACGAACTAGTAAGACGGTTATGCGCTCTCTCTCTCTCTCTCCCCTTTCCGCCTATATTTCACCAGCTTATTAACGGTCACATTTCCGGCGATTTTCTCTCTCTAAAACAAACTTCCATAATAGAAACCGTCTCTTTCTCTCTCTCTCTCGCTCTCTATAATCTCTCACTTCAGTTCCACACAATCATTCTCACTCTAAGGCCTCAGCAACGCCTCTTTCTCTCTCTCTCTCTCTTGAAAATAGGTTCAGTAATGAAGAGAGGTTTGGGCAGAAATTAGGGTTTGAGAGTGATGAGAGTCATGAGTAGCGAGTACTGAGCTATAATGGTGGCTGCTGTGTCCGCTATGCCGATCTACAAGGTGTCATCACAAGGTGGGGCTCTCCAGAGCCCGAAAAGGACTCCGTTGTTACCTTCAGAATCTGATAATGGCGTGGTTGGCACTCGGAGACCGAAATCGAGAGAAGTTATTTCTCGATACTTTTCTTCTACGTCTTCGACTTCCACGACGACGACTTCGAATTCGACTTCGTCGTCCTCGAATTCGTGTTCCTCGAGGCGGTCTCCGTCTCCGCTTGTTTCAAGAACGGTGCCGATGACGCCGATGCCGGCATCGTCGGCGGCGATTAAGCGGTCGCAATCGGTGGAGCGGAGGCGGCCGGCGACTCCGCGGCCGAATACGCCGGGAAATGCCGGTGAGATGTCGGCTGCTGCGAAGCTATTGGTCAATTCGTCCAGAAGTCTGTCGGTTTCGTTTCAAGGACAGTCATTTTCACTTCCGATTAGCAAGACGAAGCCGGCGCCGGCGACAAGTAGTTCCAGGAAAGCGACGCCGGAGAGGAGGAAAGCGACGCCGGTGAGGAATCAGACGGAGAATTCGAAGCCTAATGATCAGCATCGGTGGCCTGGGAGATCACGGGAAGTGAGTTTTCTAACAAGAAGTTTGGATTGTGCTGTTGAGAAGAAAAAATTGGGTGGATCTGGGAGTGTAGTTAGGGCATTGCAACAATCCATGATTATTGAGAGCACCAAAACTTCATTTAATGGTAGATTGAAAGTTCAGCCCACTAATACGGAGCTTGATAAATCTCCTGAAGCCTCTGATCTGGTTGCTTTGGATACCGAAAGTGTTTCTTCTGGAAGCACTGGAGGTGTACAAGAATGTGGGAATGTTTCTCAGGTGCGTGAAGGGACTCGTGGAATCATAGTGCCTGCGAGGTTTTGGCAAGAGACTACCAACAGGTTGCGGCGATTGCCAGAGCCAGGGTCCCCAGTGTCAAAGAATAATGGGTTGAAGACAATTGCTCAATCAAAACTCAGTGCAATGAAGAAATCGTTTATTGACAGTCCAATTTCATCACCTCTTCGCGGGGCTGTTCGGCCAGCATCCCCAAGCAAGGTTGTGACATCTTCGGCCTCTTCTCCATCCAGGGGGATGCAGAGCCCGTCTCGAGTGAGGAATGGTGTAGGAAGCATGTTGAATAATAATAATTTGAGTAACACTCCGTCGATTCTCAGCTTTGCTGCTGATGTAAGGAGAGGGAAGGTTGGGGAGAACCGGATTCTTGACGCACATCTGTTGAGGCTGCTATATAATCGGCACTTGCAATGGCGATTTATGAATGCTAGAGCAGATGCTGCAATGTTGGTCCAGAAAGTAACTGCAGAGGTACATCTCCTAGATTTCATTTCTCGTATTTTGGCCTTCTGTTTTATCATGTGCGAGTTTGTTTATGCAGTGATGAAATGGTTTGATTACCTGATATATTCATTTATATTTCTGTCATTGATGCGTACAATAGTTTGGGTTTAATTCAATTTGATTCAATTTGATTTTGTCTTCGCATAAAATCCATGTTTTGCTCACTTGGATACCTTGGTTTCAATTGTGTGATGGAAAGTATCAGTTGCTAGTGTTTACAAGTTGTTGCCATGTCATCTCTAGGTGACAAATGTATGGCATGACTAGAAGAGAGATCAGACGACAAAGGGATAACCCATGGATGAACTAATTGATTAATACGCTAGAAATACTGTTGGCTCTGTTTCAGCTACAACTATTTCATCTCAGTAAAAGATAATGACCTAAGTAGTGCTTGAGGGATCACGAAATCAAGTTCAATACGTAGAAGGCATGGAGAAGGAAAGAGAGAGAAAGATGTGGAAGAAGAGGAAAAAAAAGGTACTAAGTGGGGTAGACCTGGTGGTGTGATATTCATTCAACTGTCAGTTATGAGGCTTATACTGGGGTTCAGGATGGCATGGGTCCCTGAGAAAATAAGAAATTTAGATGCTAAGGATGTGAAGATGTTCCTGTAAGTAATTATTTAAAAGGAATAGCTATTTTACATTATCCAGAGGCAAAAAAGGTTTGTTTATGATATTTGTCAGTGAATGTGTTCCCAATTGGCAATTGACTAGCTGCTGGTGATGTAAGTTTTAATATGTTCAAATTGTTTATTCGATGGTGACTATTTGAGGAAAGAGGAGAATGGAAAATTAGGGATGGTGTGTCATTGCTGAGTGGAATTGAAGTTTCATTTCATTGAGTTAATTGGAAGAGGGGAGAAGCATGTTGGTGAAGTAAATTTCACTGTGGCAACAAGTTGGATGAATATTAGTGTTCCTATAAAACAACAAAGTTATTGTCATAGTCTTTGATATCAGAATCTTACGAGTCTCGATTTAATTCACTATTTGATTTGCGATTTATGCAAAGATTGATACAAATCCATTCAGTTTTTACAATTCATACAACTTTTGAAATTATCGTGTTTGACAAATTCTGACAATATATTTTTTTTTATAATGAAAATGACCAATAACTATGTATGATTTGCTATTATTTTTGGTAATTATAGGATTTTTAATAGGATCTAATCAAATCTACTCAATCGCAACATGTTATTAACTTTTTTTTTTTTCTGTCATTTTTTTTCTAAAAAATACCATAAGGATGTGTAAGGTTAAAATTAAACCCATTAATTATTTATCGTTTTTTTTTTTTTTTTTTTTATTTTTTTTTTTTTAAAAATAAATATGGTTCAATATTATATGGTTGAGGAAAGTCAAACTCAATAGTCCCACAATTGTTTTTTTTTTTTAAAAAAAACAATAAGCATAAACACTTTTTAGGCTGTAAAACTAAAGAATTGTACTTCATTCTTTCTTATATAGGATTTCTAAGTTCATTTTTTGAATGTTGTGAGCTTATATCATGGTTTTTGAAAAAAATTTGGGATCCATGTTCTCTTACTATGTACAAAGGCAATGTCTTTCCAATAACTATTTATAACATATGTCAAAATTAATTTATTCCAATTTTTTTAAAAATATATATACGATTCATCTTATTTAATAGTTTGCACCGAATCTTATTGATTCTACAAAAGTAAGATTTCAATACGCAATACTGTTCTTGATTTGACTATGGTTATAAGATTCTTTATTTGGATCTTACGACCCATTTAGGCAAAATTGTTTGGATCATGTAAAAAATCCTTTGCAAGTAGGATGTTTCAATCATGATAGTCGGATCTTATAGGATTAAGGAATCCCGATCCGATCCTGCCAGGTTCAATTTTTAAGCATTCTGTTGTTTTGCATGGCGTATTTTATTGTAAATGTTAAATTAAAACAGACTAAAGAAAAGTAAACTAGAAAAATAGATATTCAAGTATTGCAATAATTTAATTAAAAATCTCATTCCACCTCCATCTATGCTTTGTTGTATGTATCTACATCTTTCTACCCCTCTCTCGTTGCATAGTAGATTATTTGGCTCTTTTTCTTTACTTTTCGCTATTTAATAAAATAGCCTTCGATTTGATTCTCTATCTTGATTTGTTGGAATTCTTTTACTGTATATACGTTTTTTTCTCCTTTAATTTTAATTTTTATATTGTAATTGTATACTTTTATTTCTTTTGGTGAAATGTAATACTTTTGCTATTGACTTTTCTATTATATAAAATTATATTTACATTTTATATAAAGCATTATATTTTTCAAATTTTTTTACTTGTTTTTAGTATAATTCAGGTTGATTATGTGTGTACTCTTTTTCTATTTATTTCCTTATTTTTTGTGCATACACTTTTATTTTCTTTTAAGGTGTCCAAAGGTTCTTTAATTTATTTCTTACCACTATAGAATTTTATATATTTAATTTTTATGACACATGTAAAGTTATCATTTTTTTTTAAAATTTCTTTTCTCTGTTGAATTTTCAATCCACTTTTATTTTCAATTTTGTTTACTATTGTTCGTTTTCTTTTCATGCACTTTTTTAAATTGCAAATGACCAAGTTTTCTATTATGTAATATTATATTTACATTTTCATAAACCATTATATTTTTTGTAGTGTTTCCACTTATCTTTAGTATAATTTAGGTTGATGCTCTTTAAGAAATGTAATTTTCTTTTTTGATAGAGTTTTGTGATCCTTGATCCGATTTTATCATCTGATTATGTAAAAACCTCCATCAGTCCAATGTAGGATTTCGATTTTGACAACCTTGGATTTGACAACTATGCTTAGTGTTGTGTTATTGGGTTTCTTATAGCACAATTGGAAGAAAGAACTAGGTTGGTGAGTAAAAAGCAAATCTCATTCTGGCAACAAGTTGGATGAATATTAGACTTGGTTGACAAACTATTTATGATATTTTTTTTTGCTTTTGAAAACACTCATTTTAGGAACACTTCTAATTTGTTTTCTGAATTATTGAAAATTGTTTATGCACAGTGTTCGTATAAAACAAGCAAAGTTATTGTTAGATTTAGTGATGTGTTATTGGGTTTCCAATTATGGAATGTAAACACTGGGCTTCATCTCTGGATTTTTGAATACAGTCAAATGAAGGTGGTCCAGCTTGAGCAGCCAAAAATTGCAATTTGGTTGTTGGATATCTATTGCAATAATCCCTCTGACTTGTTGAATTCTGGAATCGTAGAAAATTAAACATGTAATTTTTTAGGGTGCAACCTAGGTAGATAATCTGAATAGTAGAAAATTGATGCCTGCAAGTAGTTGTAGAGTTACAAGGAATTCCAAGGCTAGACGATCAACTTTTTTTGTTGTTCAATTGTTTGCAACTTGGCAAGCTTTCAGATCTCAGTAAACATCATAAAGAGAAATATTAAAGTAGGATGATTTGAAGAGCATATTAAATTTCTGTTCTTTAGGACTCATGGAGGAGTAAATAAGGCAACCTTAGCATATTATTCATCTTCTTGTCTTCATGTTGAAGGATATATGGTTCACTTCTCTGTCCTTATTTTTGTAAGATTACAAAAAAATTTATACTTTTTTGGATTTAAAATAGATTTCTCTCTCTCTCTCTCTCAAAAATGTTTTTCTTTAATGTGTTTGGGAATAACAAAGTAGTACCTAAGTGATGTAGTTATGGGCCTGAGAAATGTAATAGATTTTGGTACTTAATTGTATGAACTAGCCATTAATGACAAGGGATATGAGGGAAAATGTTTGAGTTCCTGGATATGAAATGACAGTTGTAACTTTCACATTTTTCAAAAAAGCAGTTGTTTTGTTTTGTTTTGTTTGTTTGTTTGTTTGTTTTGTAATTAGACAGGAGTAATGTATTAAATAGCCAATATTTAAGATTGAGAACATCTTTTTCTTTCTTTCTCACACAATGTTTTTCTTTAATGTGTTTGGGAATAACAAAGTAGTACCTAAGTGATGTAGTCAAGGTTTTAAAAAGCGGCCGCAACCGTTACGTAATGCCGTTACGTAACGGTTGTGGTGATTACCGCCACTCGTTACGGCCACTTTTGCAATGTGATTGAGATTCATAGGTGTGTCGGCCGTAGCGGCTGCCATAGCGGTCGTAACGATGCCATAACAGCCGCAACGGCCTGTTACGTACCGTTACGTAACGGTTCCGAATTGCTTCTTTCGAAAAAACACACAAAAAAAAGCTGAAAATGGGGGAAAAGGGATAAAGAGAGGAGGGAAGATAAAGGGAGAAGATGAAGGAGCAAGAGATAGAGACAGAGAAGAGGGAAGATGAATAACATATTATTGATTTGTTTGAAGCTGTAAGACCTATCCTATTTTATTCAGCTGCTATCACTTAACCATTTTGTTTTTGTGTGTCTATCTATATATTGTTTGAAAATAATAATAATAAGAAGAAAAAGAAGTGTGGTCATTATCTATTTGGCTTGGTTAAAATATGTATATATATACATGTATATTTAGGCTTTTATTTATTCTTACTTTCGTCATTGTTTATCTTATATATAATAGTTAGTGATTGATTTCTTGTATAACATAAAGTCATTAATTATTAAAATAAAATGTAAAAAACTCAGTTTATAGTGATTTAAAAATATGAAATACATTAGATCATACTTAAAAATTTACAAAAATTGATCAATATTTTTTTTAAACCCAATAAATATGTTAATGGAAAAAAAATATGCGTATCGGTAAATTTTTTTCAAATTGTGCGAAAAATTAAAAAATTCACGGTTTCGGTTACCGCAACCGTTACGCTACGGCCTTTATACCCCGCAATCGCAACCGCACCACCACCACCGTTACGGCGACCGCAATCGCTTTTCAGAACCTTGGATGTAGTTATGGGCCTGAGAAATGTAATAGATTTTGGTACTTAATTGTATGAACTAGCCATTGATGACAAGGGATATGAGGGAAAATGTTTGAGTTCCTGGATATGAAATGACAGTTGTAACTTTCACATTTTTCAAAAAAGCAGTTGTTTTGTTTTGTTTGTTTGTTTGTTTTGTAATTAGACAGGAGTACTGTATTAAATAGCCAATATTTAAGATTGAGAACATCTTTTTCTTTCTTTCTCACACATAATTCGTATTCCTTATACATATTTATAGGTGGATTTCTCAAACATTGGTAAGTTGGAAGACCAAAATGTGATTTAGAGAAGTTGGATAACTATGTAGCTAATCTGTTTCTTCTGTTTTTTCCTTTTCCATCTAGTATAATGAAATACTGCGGCATTTCTTTTTCTAAACCTTCTTCTGTGTATCAGAAAAGCCTATACAATGCTTGGGTGACTACCTCGAAATTGCGGCATTCGGTCAAATCCAAAAGAGTAGAGTTACAAGTGTTGCGGAAAAATTTGAAACTATACTCCATTCTCAAGGGACAAGTAAGATCATGAATTCATGGACTTATATTTTTTATGGGGCCTCTTGGATTTTATTTTAAAGTCTTTTTTCCACTTTAAAAGTCATGTTCTATTAATGCCATGTCATTGTCTATTTAGCACTTTGCTGAATTTGATATTGGGGCACTACTGTTTTGTTGAGTTGTGTCTTTAATAGATGTAGACAAGTATGCAGTTGGTCTAGAAATCTCATTTGATGCACGTTTTTCTGATCATCATCTTTTTTCTATTACTACGTTTAAAATATGACACTTCGCTGAATATACAAAGAATCTCTCTTTAATTCTGCTTTCGTTTGACGAGCAGGCATGAACATATGCACACTACACAAATTACACCGTTGTACTTGTACACACAAGTGCAAACCAACACCATCACTCAGTCTTCTTAAAAAGCAATCTTTTGGACTTGAGCCCTAGGATAGGACTGGTTCACCCATCTGTTCTTCCAATGCAGAGATGGAAAATATGGAAAACTGGAATTATGGTAATTCATCTAAGAGTTATGTAATCGGTCATGCTAGGTTGTTCTCTTTTTTGAGTGGGCAGGTTGAATATTGTTCCATGGTCATGGACTCGTGGTGATGGACTCGTGGTGAAAATCGTTAGGACATACTTTTTTCTTTCTTCATATTCTTAAGGTGACACAAATCGAGATGCACATTTGTTTATTAGCACGGTTCATTTGTTTTGTTCTGCCCATCTGCTGTAAGCCGATTATTTTGGAGCTAATTGTATTCAGTGAATGCAGATGCTACATTTGGATGATTGGGATCTTATTGACAGGGATCACTCCATTTCTTTGTCAGGAGCTATTGAAGCTTTGGAGTCCAGCACTCTCCGGCTTCCAGTTGTTGGTGGTGCAAGGGTACGTGTCTCCTGCCTTGTGTCTTGAATGGGCATTGACATTTCCATTGCTTTATATACATACACAATATAGCTTTTAGGGGGCTTTGAGAAACCTCTCTATCGTTTTTTCCTTTTCTTCTTTTCTTTTTTTTTGGTCGAATCTTTATCTGCACAGGCAGATATTCAAAGTGTGAAAGATGCTATTAGTTCAGCAGTTGATGTGATGCAAGTGATGGCATCCTCGATATGCGCTTTGTTGACAAAGGTAATCTTGTTGATATTTTAATTATCTTCGTTTTTGGTTATAATTGCAGTAAACTTCAAATTTGGTCTATAAATTAGTTCTATTAACTTCATATTTTTTTGATTGATTTGATAAAGTGTTAAGATAAGGTATAAATATTGGACCTTAAGCAGGTACATTTTTAGGACATTCAGTGATAGCTTAGATTTATAGCAGAAAACTTGTATAAATATTTGCTTCACACTATTGAGCAATTTAATTATAGCGCATTTCGACAAGAAAATCTTGTGTGGTGGTTGTGACCTGCTGCTGGGTGAGAAGATTGTGTGCATGATGCTTAGCCATAGTAGGTATGTCAAAGATTAGGTATCATACATTTGGAAGGTCCAAATTAGATTTTTAGTAGTTAAGTCAAAGATTTCCATAATTGTGCATGGTTTCAATTTGAATCTTTACTGTTGATGGTATGAGTAAGAACCACAATATGACCACTGGAATTGTTCTTTATTCAAGTGCATGAAGTAATATCAGATGAGCTTCTAATGTTGCTACATTGTTAAAATTCAGTCACTGTTGAGAATGTCAGGGTTCCATTTAACCCTTCAGTAAGTCTTTTGTGTTCTGTCATGTAAATGTAGTCTCCACCGTCCTCAATCATGTCCTTTTTGCATTGTCGTCTTTGCATTTGAGTTTCTATTATTGTGTATTATATAGAGCTGCAGAGCTAGTACCAAAATTAATTTGCAGGATTCTAGACCAGGGTCCAGATTTTGTTTGCATAGTGATGAATATGCTCACTGACTTCCATATGTCTTGCATACTTTTTTCTGCAAATTGTCAACAAAATTTGGTCACAATTATGATGGTGTTCTGAAGACAAAATGCTTCAACAGAAACTGGTTCTTCAGTTTCTTTAATGGAAAATTATGGCAGATTCAAGTTCTCTCCTATGGTTTTCCACATCATAATTACATGTATAATCTTCTCAAAATTTTCATCTAAGGTTAATAACTTCCATAAAATTGTGAAATTTGTATTCCTAGAGGCAAAAGCAAAGTAAAAAATATGTGGGATGTGTACTTCAAATAACTAAAAACAACATAAAAGTGAAAGCCATGGTAATGTGATTATGTATTGGAGGCTATTTTGAATGGGAAGGGTGGTCTATTATGCTTTGTGAGAGGGGAATGGAAATAGGATTAAGGGAGTTGGATTTCTTATAATTTGGTTAATGAATTTACTATTTTAATATTTACAATTTTGTTTTACTTAACAAAATATATATACATGTATATATATTTACAAATTTGTTTTTCTGGTAGTAGTGTTGTAATTTGTTCTTTTAGGTTTGAGGTAAACTCCTTTGCAGGTGATAAGCGTCAGTTTTTGTCACCCAATTATCGTTGAGTGCTAGGTATTAAGTCTCTTTTGGTGTGAAAGATCTTTCTTTTTTATTTCATTTGGAGGGCCTGTGTGAGGTTTCAATTGTGTTATAGATTCATGTCTTTTGAAGGTTCTAATTCCTAGGAAATATGGGGTTGTGTTAATCTAAACTGCTTGGTTGAGTGAAAAGAAGTGGAATTATATGCCTTCATGATTTAATGAACTTTGAGGATAAAAATGTTAGTTTTCTTTCTTTTCTTTTTCTTCAGTGTTTGCTTTTCTTTTTTTTTTAACTTTTCTTTTTTTTAGTGGGAGGACCAGCTCTTTTTCTCATATCTTTTGGGTGGATGAGAAATGGTAGGCCCAAAGGGAAGGTTCCCCTCCGCTTTTCACTTCTAATCTCTTTTCCTCTCCGTCCCCTCTTTCACCTCACCCTTGCTTCCTTCAATTTTTCCCTCGTGCCAAACATGGTGTTTGCGTTGCCCATCCTCTGATACCATGTGTTTTTAGTGAATTCATTTTGTTTTTTTCTTCCCCCCTTTATCTTTTTGTATTGTCACAAATCAATCGTGACAGAGTTGTACTGGTGCCTCTGGAGTGGTGCTTGTGTGTGTGTGTGCGCGTGTGTTTGGGTTTTCGTTCATGATTCTAATCCTAAATTTTGGGAGGTGGGGGGGATTTTCAAAAGATATATATACAAAGGAAAAAGGAAAGAAAATTCTGTTGCCATTTTATGTGTTGCTGGAAATCCATTTCTGGATGTGATTCTGTTTCATGAATGTGGTAATTTCCTTGAAAATTTTAATGATGACACAGTGAGTAAAACCTAGCTTGCCAACTTAGAATTACTTGCTGGGTTAGACGTTTCAGTGAATGTGATTTTTCTTCAGCCATATATTGGATTTATCTGTTGAATGGGTTAACAGGTAGATCAAGTGAACTCTCTGGCATCTCAACTTGCAAACATAACCGCTAAGGAACGTGGTTTGCTTGATCAGTGCAAAGATCTCTTGTCCACACTAACGGCCTTGCAGGTAAGGACGGAATTCAGTTTTCATTTTCCTTTCCTTTGACTTTATAGAATGATTGGTTATATTTTCCTTGTGAACTCAGGCGAAGGATTGTAGCCTGAGGACACATATATTACAACAGAGGCACACGCCCATGAGTCTGACAACAGAAAGTATAAAAAGCTGATATCATTTTACTGATTACCTTATAACCTAACATAATGTCGAATCCCATTATTGCCGGGTACTATGGAACCCCATGATCGGAAAGTGTGAGTGGTTTTGTCTGCAGCTTGCAAAAGGTGAGTGCTCGTTTTTTTACCTTCTTGGTATGCACAGATGGTAGGAGATTGGTACAAAGGTTTTTTCAGTAGGGCAAAGGAAAAAAAATGTGTAAATATGTATAAATGATGTTTTCAGTTCCCAAAGATCAATGGCTCTTTTTCGCTTTTCATTTGGTGCTTTCCATTCCATCCTTGTATCTTCTTGAGCTTTCTTTCTACATGGGTATGCTATGAAACTTGGAAAACACAACTACAGGTATGCGTTAGAGATTTGTTAAACAAACTTAAAAGGATTGTAAATTACTTATTGCATTCATTTTCCACGCAAAACGCCTAATTTTTTTTTGAGTTATTATTTGGTAATCCAGAAGTACGGTCACGTGGTACTCCGTAATAGTATAATTGGTGAAGGTGTTGGGTGATTGAGAAAAATAAGAGAACGTAATGAACGGTGATTGGTGGGGGAATGATTACGTAGTATTCTGGGTCTATTGTATAATTTTTCATTTTTTAAGATAAATTACAAATACACCTTTGAAGTTTGATTAAAATATGAATTACACTCTGTAGTTCTGGAATTACATTCCACCTCCTGAGGTTTCTAATTTCATAGCAAATTGCCCTTTTTATTAATAAATTATCAAATCAATTAACAGTTTTTAATGATGTTAGAAATATGTTTTAATTAATAATTTAAGTAATTTTATAATTGTATATGAGAGCAATTATAAATTTTATTTTTTTAGTTAATTTTGTTAAATAAAAAAAAACAAACAAAGAGGTATTTATAATTTTTTAAATCACAAGGAGCAATTTATATTTTAAATAAAGTTCAGGGGATATATTCATAATTTACCTTTTTTTTATTTTTAAAGCCTTTTAACATGTGCCCAACAAAATCCTATTATGAAATAGAAATGTTATGTCACCAATTTTTTTTGTCTCCATGTTGACTGCCTACATAGATATATCTATGATTGATTCCTAGTTTGTTTAGGGATTAATTATTAAGGCATAAATGAAAGCCAGCATTATCTATACGTACCTTGATGATATAAAATGGTGAAGAAAACAAAATAGGTGATATAAAATAGCCTTCTGCACATAAACCATAAGGTGGATCTTGCCTTTTCGTGGTTTCTATGTGAATAAAAGAATTTATTTTAAAATTGCTAATTTTTAAAATTAAATTTCAACAATCTGCCACTTTGACACGTTAATGAATTTGGGGAATTTGGCACTTTATTAGCATTGAAGGTACACAATTAATTTGGGTAAATGGTTCCTGAGGATTTTCTAGCTTAACAAACAACTTTGTGTTTCTACTAATTGTCTCATATGTGCATTTTATTGTGTTGGTTTATACAATTGTAAACTATCATTGATGAAATCGCAATTCGAAAATGGAAAAAAGTTTGGGCAAATCAATACAGGGAATTTTTTTGGATCCTAATCTATGTGTAACCGTAAAATGTCCCTCAATCTTGAAAGTTGTATGTGTAAATTTTTCCATTTGATTAACTGTAAATTTTCTATTTTGCTGAACTATAAATTTTCACTTTGGTAAATTGTAAAATTTCTAATCTTGTAAACTATATAAAATGTAAAATATGGATTTTGATCATCTCTTTTATATGAATATTTTATAAGGTTGCAAGACATCATCTAAATAAATAAAAATAAATAAATGATTTATAATTATCATGTCATTTTAAGTTTGAGAACTTTCCTTGATAATATTTAATTTAAAATATATCTAGATATAAGTTTTATTAGTTATGTATTAGAGATCTCCATTTCATATAATGGAGAGAATCTGAATCCATTGTGTATATTGTTGGACAATTTTCATTGTATTAAAAGTAAATTTTATTTGTGTATTCAACAACAAACGAAACACGCAAGAAATAAATTAAAAGAAAGAGTTTTCAAAATCTGTTTAATTACATGAACTAAACAGAAAATGGAAATAGAGAAGGTGAGAAGAAAATAAAATTAAGAACAGAAAATACTTATAGAAAATATTTTCTTAGAGTGATCAAGTCTAGTGTTTAACACTGGGTGCTCACAGAATTTGGACGTCTATCTCCTAGGATGAAATGATCTTCAATAAATAGTAGCAACACTACAAACTGTTTGCCCAACGAACACACTTTGTGTTTATATACTTTCCCATAGAAAATTAAATACAGCAAAATACAGAGAGCAATAACAGCAACGAGAATGAAAATTAGAGTGCAAAATCCAAATGAAGGTCTGTCTATTTATAGGAGAAATTGTGGCTTTTCAGATTTGAATCTAACAAGTAGAAAAACTGTTTGAACAGGTATTGTACCTGTTCGATACTATTTGAACAGGTAGAACTGTTTAGGTTTGCATCTCTTCAAATTTTCTGTATAGTGCCAAACTTGTTTGAACAAATTCAATATCTGTTCAAAATTCAAACCTAAACAGTTCTACGTGTTCAAATTGGGTCGAATAGGTACCATACCTGTTCAAACTGAAAAGCCACAATTTCTCCGATAAATAGACAGACCCTTATTTGGATTTTGCACTCTAATTTTCGTTCTTGTTGCTAACATTACTCTCTACATTTTGCTGCATTTAATTTTCTATGAGAAAGTGTATAAACACAAAGTGTGTTCATTGTGTAAACAATTTGTAGTGCTGCTACTGTTTGTTGAAGATCATTTCATCCTGAGAGATAGACGTCCAAATTCTGTGAGCACCCTAGAGAAGACGAATCTATCTTAAGGAGACAGTGTTAAACACTGGACTTGATCACTCTAAGAAAATATTTTCTGTTCTTAATTTTGTTTTCTTCTCACCTTTTCTATTTCTATTTTCAGTTTAGTTTATGTAATTAAACAGATTTTGGAAACTCTTTCTTTTAATTTATTTCTTGTGTGTTTTGTTTGTTGTTGAGTATATAAACATAATTTATTCTTAATACAGTGAAGATTCCCAACAATCTTAAGACATATATTATTTTTGTCTTCATTGTATTTATTTTCTGTGCTTTTACAAAGTGATATTCTGGTTGAAAAATACAAATAATAGTCATATACTGTTTGATAAATAATAGTAATATACTGTTTATTTTCTTTAACAAATAGTAGTAATATACTGTTTGTCATTAACAACTTCAGAATATTAATTTCTGTAGTAGTGTTACAGAAAATTATTGTGTAGTATTTTATTTTTCTAGGTTTAGTAACTGGAAAAGTAAAATTATTTTGTGTTGTAACTTATTTTCTTGTTTGAGTAACTAGAAAATTAATTTGTGTTTTGGTTTTGGGTTTTTTCTTATTTTTTGTAATCAGATATTATGACTGCTGAAAGTAATACTCCCAATCCGATTGTTACAACGACTTCAGCCCCTATCCAAAACCATGTTCAAGTTCCAATAAATCATGGAGAAAAATCGAAAAATTTAATGGCACCAAGTTTAAGAGATAGCAGCAGAAAATGTTGTTATATCTAACAACTCTTAATCTTGCCCGGTTTCTCCGTGAAGAGGCTCTAGTGCTTAAAGAGGATGAAAGTGATTGGCAAGTTGTTGCCGCTATAGACGCTTGGAAATATTCTGATTTTCTGTGCAGAAACTACATCATCAATGGCCTTGACAACATGTTGTATAATGTTTACAACTCTCTGAAAACAACAAAAGAATTGTGGGATTCTTTGGAGAAAAAATACAAGACAGAGGATGCTGGCACAAAGAAATTTATTGTTGGTAAATTTCTGGACTTTGTTATGGTAGACTCCCAAACAGTAATTTCTCAAATTCAAAGTTTCCAATTAATTTTGCATGATATTCATGCTGAAGGTATGTCTCTTAACGAATCTTTCCAAGTCACTGCATTAGTAGGAAAACTACCACCAGCTTAGAAAGATTTCAAAAATTATTTGAAATATAAACGCAAAGAGATGACCATAGATGAACTGATTGTAAGACTGAGAATTGAGGAAGATAACCGTAAGGCTGAAAAGAGAAATGGTAAAAATCCCATTAAGTCTAAGGCTAATGTGGTTGAACATGTGCCCAAACCACATAACAAAAAGAGTAAGGTTGCTGGAGATGGTCCTAAACAAGGCGACAACAATGGCAATAAAAATTTCAAAAGTAAATGTTATAACTGTGGCAAAACTGGACATCGTGCCTTTGATTGTCGACACCCTAAAAAGGATCGCGAAAATACAAACAAAAAGACTACCAATCAAGCTAATGTGACAAAACTAGATCACATCTCTGACGGGGTAAATGACATCAATTTCTTTGCTGTGGTGTCTGATGCTAATTTGGTTAGAAATTCCAAGGAATGTTGGGTTGACACAGGAGCAATTCGTCACATTTGCGCGGATAAGAAGATGTTCACTACATATAATGAGGCTGTAAATGGTGAACAACTTTTCATGAGAAATTCTTCTACCTCTACTGTGGTTGGACAAGAAAATAGATCTTGAAGATGACATCGAGGAAGGAACTTACCCTCAATAACGTGCTGCATGTACCAAACATCCGCAAGAATTTAGTTTCTGATTATTTGTTAAGTAAAAATGGTTTTAGGCTTGTATTTGAGTTTGATAAATTTGTATTAACAAAGAGTGGTATGTATGTTGGTAAGGAATACATGAGTGATGGTCTTTTTAAGTTGAATGTAATGATTATTGTACCAAAACTTTCTATTAATAAGAATAACACATCTTTTGCTTATATTCTTGAGTCAAATTTATGGCATGGTAGATTAGGATATATAAATTTTGATGGTTTGCGTTGATTAATTGGTTTGGATTATATATCAAAGTTTGAAATTGATCCTAATCACAAATGTGAGATTTGTGTAGAAGTGAAACTAACTAAGGTTCCATTTAAATCAGTTGAAAGAAAAATTGAACCTCTATAATTAATTCATATTGATGTATGTGATCTTAAATTTGTTCAAATTAGAGGAGGCAAAAAGGATTTCATAACATTTATTAATAATTGCACAAGATATTGTTATGTATATTTTACTTAGAAGCAAAGATGAAGCTTTAGAAATGTTTAAACTCTACAAAATTGAAGTTGAAAATCAACTTAGTAAAACTATTAAAACGGTTAGAAGTGATAGGGGTGGTGAATATGATGTACCTTTAAATGAATTTTGTGTACAACATGTCATCATTT